GTGGGGGGGGGCAAGTGTGGCAGCTGCCCCCTAGATTTTGGAGTAAAACTAAAAAAATAAATTGTTCTACTAAAAGAGAAATGTCGTAGTCAGAATGAAGGCTGTACATGTACTCAAAAGTGCCTCAAATACCATCTCCTGTAATCTACATTTTCAAAATTTTCTGTGGGAAGAACCCCAGACCCCCACCTGTTTCTCACCCCCTTCCTGAAATCCTGGATCCGCTACTGCCCCCCCCCTAGAATATGCTCAGCCTACGGCCCTGGAACGTGAGTAGAAGAACAACAATTAGTACTGTGTACTTAGTACGTAGTGACTATAACTAGACATACTTTAAAGGATTTATTGCGAAATCATTGCTCCGAAACGCACAATCCGAAAACAATGTAATTAAAATTATTAATTACGCTGTAATGAAGAATTAAACATGCTGTAACACCATGGCATATTTAATCATCTAGTGACAATTATAGGGATACTTTCCCCATATTGATGAGAATATTATGATAGGAAATACATAAATAATAGCACACACCAACAAATTTCTATAATTACGCATTCACGTTTGTCATAAAACAACATTGAATTTTCAAAATATTCATTTTTGGGCGCTGACATGACACCCACGATTGAGCTGTCACCCTGAAAATGTTGTGCATTTGAAAATTCGTTTTACGCATTACACACCGAGGGCTAATATTTTAGGACCGAGGGCAGTTATATTTATACCTAAACGCTATTTAAGCTGAGAGGGTCTATGTCCTTCGGCTTACTGCCGGAACGTACCCTGGGTACGGTCCGGTATACCGGAACGTACCCTGGTACTATCTAATATGCCGGACCGTACCTCGCCATCTTCCTAACGAGTCTAGGGTCTTCTCTACTGACGTGCAAAGAGTAAGTGGTCTGATACCCTTTTGACCCTCAAGAGATGGTTAAACATGGATTCCTGAACTGCCTCAATGACGTCACAGTGTTCTTATATTCATGGCACATCCATAATCTAGAAACCCAATAAACCTGGATAGCCGAACGGGTACAGAACAGGCGTCACGGCTCAAAGGTCGTTGGATCGAATCCATCGCGATTTTTTATTATTTACCTGTTTCTGCTATTTTTTCCTTTATCCATTTAACTATTTTTTCCAATTAACGCAAATATATTACATGATTTATTTACAACAATTAATAACAACAAATAATTTGACCACAAATTATTTGTTTATATTTTTATAGGGTTATGGCTTAGGTTCACAATGCACCATAAAAACAGGAGTTTCAGGCACGCGATTTGTATCAAACATTGGGATTTGGGAGGTATGCAGACTGCAGAAGGTTGCTGAAATGATGTGTACGCAACTGCGTCATCTGCATATCTGCGCCTAACAAAGTGTCACTGACGCACGACTTAAATGTTACGTTTATAACCGCTAGCAACAGACCTCAGATGAGCCCAGGACGCTCTGCGGCTCTTGTGTATAGCGATAACGGCAAGCTGTTGTAAAAGTGGGGAAAATGCGAGATTGGTTGGAAATTATGTTCAAAATCCGGCCTTTATTACTCTATGCGACACGCAACTACATTCCACTAATCGAATTCTCTTCTCTCTTTCCACAGATTGCACTCGCCTCCTTCGAATCCTTAATGAGCACTTTCTTACAACAAGCATCTGGGCTAGTCATTGCTGACTCGCTATGCATTGACACATATGACTGCACCAGGCCATAATAAAAATATTGCTTGTTTGCCCTCACCAGTGCCTGAAATGGGGCCAGCCTAAGGCTGGCCCAAAAAATATTTTTGGGGCGAGTAAATTTTTAGTCACTGGCCAAATGCATTGTTGGAGGCCCAAATTTTATACAGCAGCGCATCTGAGCCAGTGCGCATATAGGCGAGTGCGCGCGATCTGAGCGGGCTCAGCACGCCCGATTCTCACAAGGTCCACTGCTAGCACGATGTAAACATTACTATGCCACACTAGCGTTATACAGCGGCATAGTATACAAGCGTATAATAGCGCGTTTACACGTACCGTCAAACCGCAGTTTCGAACGGCGTATCTTACGGACTCCGTACGATATGCGTATAGCGTGACGCTGAGTTAAACAGCGCTCACACGTAGTTTGGAATGTACGTACGTCGCGTTATAGCGGCGGGCATACTAGGGCGAAGGAAACGATAGATTTACGCCAAATGCGGTTATAGGTTCGTGCGGCTTTTTGCTATACTCTCTTCCTTCTGTGTCCCATCTCTGTGTGTTGCGCGCGCCCTCTCTTCTCTCAGCTCTCTCTCTGCTCTCTCTCTTCCTCTCTCTCTCTCTCTCTTCCTCTCGTCTCTCTCTGTCTCTGTCTCTGTCTCTGTCTCCTGTCTCTGTCTCTGTCCTCTGTCTTGTCTGTCTCTGTCTCTGTCTCTGCTCTGTCTCTGTCTCTCTCGCTGTCTCTCCTCTCTCTTCTCTCTCTCCTCTCTCTACCTCTCGCCTCTCCGAGTCCTGGATTGCTCGCATGGTCCACTCTCTCTCTCATCTTCTCTCTCTCTCTCGTCCCTGTCCATCTCCCCTATTGTGTCTCCTCTGTCATCTCTCTCTCTCTCACTCCAGATTCTCTCTCTCTCCCTGTCTCCCTCCTTCTATGTGTCACTCTGTCTCCTCTCTCTGCTCGGCGTCTCTCTCTCTTCGTCTCCAGTTCTGCCTCTGTTCTCGCCACAAAGCGTGACGCGTATACGCGTATTATAGCTATAGACGCTCATACACACACTACACATATATTAATATATATGTATATATATTATATATATGTATTATATTATATATATATATAATATACACGCATATATAGTTCACACGTCCGCTATACGCGTATAGCTATACGAAGTACGTAGGAAACCCACTCATTTTGTCAGGATAGTGATACGCGTTTCAAACTGAGTATAGCTATACGTGGTCGTTCAGACGAGGGAAATTTATCGCGAGTACATACGAAACTCTGTTTCGTATGCGTACGAACCGTGGATTTTGCTACGTGTGAACGCGCTATAAGCAAGCGTGGCCGATCAGGGTGGGCTCAGGTCAGCGATACATGTACATAAATGTGATGTTATACATTGTATCAAGCTAGCCAGACAACGCATCTAGACATGTATGTTTGCAGTGTAGCGGGTGAGTCGAAGACTACCAGTCTACCCCGCAGTCAGCAAGCTCGGTCGGAACGAAAATGCGCGAGTGTGGTCTGATTGTATCCTACCGTGGACTCCGGTTTAGGATTATGATTAGTTAGTAAACAAAGAACAACTCAAACATATCAGTAAATTTGTTTGTGTTGAAATATTGGCAGTTGCCCAAACTTTTTCTTTTGGGCAAGTGACTACTTGACTTTGAATTTTTGATCGCCCGAGCTAGACTTTGGTCGCCTGTGGCGAGTGGGCGACCGTCCATTTCAGGCACTGCCTCACGCGACCGACCCGCCAAAAAGGGTCCGACTCAAACATTTTTATTGATCTTTCCCATTTTTTTTTTTTACAAATTGTATCACTACATTATATAAATCTGTAGGCAATACATTATAATTATGTACCAAGCAAAACAAACATTCAACATAAAAGGCATCTCCACACAAGCACACCCGAGCATGTAGACACCATGCTGAATTTGTAAAAAGTCAAAAAAAAATTTAAGCCTGCCTACCTACCTACTCAAACTTTTCAGCATGGGTATGGTGAGGGCAAACAAAGATTTTTTTAATTGTGGCCCCAACTATTAATTTATTCACCATTGACCTTGTTCATATATACTCCCCCATCTTAAATCTTTGTCATCAAGTTTCCACGCGTTACAAAAAACGGCGAATATCACAGTACTACCATGAGGCTAATATTCCAGTATCAGTTGATTGGGAATTTGATTCAGAATCTCATTCTGAAAACGATATTGAATAATCTCAAGAAAGCGAGTAGAACCTTCTGAGATATGTCCAGAATAAAGCAAGGTTAAAGCCGCACAATGCGCATCCAAACGCTAATTTCTTCAGTACTAGACTAGCAAATACTTCGTGTCATGCATAATCATACTACCTTATGGCAAAATAAACTCTAGTTCCTCCCATTTCACTGCGCGTTGTCTTATAAAAGGTATTTTGAAAATACCTCCGATGTTGTTGACAGTTTGTCAGTTTCCCCAATCTCCAAGCAACC